ATTTTTTTTGTATAAAAATTATAAAATTTTGTTAGGTTTTAAAAAGTCGTAGTTTACTCTAAGGTTTTGTTTGTAAAAAAAAATCCATCAAATTTTTCTCAAATTGTAATATAGTAAATTATGAATCAACTTGCAAGTCTTTATTCTAAATGTAAATGTTTATTAGGCTCATTCGTGCATTTTTTTAACTGGAGAAGTTATAGGTTTTTTTATAAGTATTTTTATATCTCGTACCATATTCTGTACTTTTGTCCCGCGGATTTCAGCAGTGTCGTTGAGCAGGCGCAACCGTAAGTGCACTACATGTTCTTTGAAAGAAGAATAACATACGATCGAAACAATATCGCGTTCAGCGGAATTGTAAAGTTAAAAATACAGTTTTGATACCCGTGGTGGGTACAGCACAGATAGCCCATTGTGAAGCTTTGTGCTTAACTACGAACAAATAAACAAATTAAATTACTTTACGACGTTTTCTGATAAACTTATGTGCGAATTTTGACAAGATATTTATCACAGAATACCAAAAATCGCCATTTTACTGAAGTAATAAAATTAGCACATACCAACAGATCGTGCAATCTTAATGAAGTTTCTTTATAGTCATCTCCACTGGCAGTAGACACATAAAAACGCGTTCTCCTTTGCCCGATGACGTAATAACGTCACGTGATAATAAACCAATCAATAACGAATTACCCCGATCATTTTTTATATCGGTAACACACTTCGAGACGATAACATTTAAAAACAATACTAATATTTATACCTCACTGCAGCGAAGGGGCGTGGCGGGATGAGGATCGAACGTTCGAGAGTTGATTTCGTACTTTCAGCTATGTGCGCGTTACATAAATTACAGACAGTCCAGTTATTGGGTTTATTGTGGGTACTTCTGTGTCCCTCTAGGGTTATATTTCCTGAAAGTATAGCCCACGCGAACTTGAGATGCCATTCAGTTGAAAATTCCAATTTTATTCCTAAGGGCAGTTTCTGAAGATTTCTAACTTACAACTTAAGGGCAGTTTCGCTAACATACAATATTTTCCTAAAGGTAGTTCTTGAAGTTCGCTAACATACAATACTTTCCTAAAGGTAGTTCCTCAAGTTCGCTAACGTACAATACTTTCCTAAAGGTAGTTCCTGAAGTTCGTTAACGTACAATACTTTCCTAAAGGTAGTTCCTGAAGTTCGCTAAAGTACAATACTTTCCTAAAGGTAGTTCCTGAAGTTCGCTAAAGTACAATACTTTCCTAAAGGTAGTTCCTGAAGTTCGCTAAAGT